CTCCTGAACCAAACCATCTTCCTAGTTTTTCCCCTAAAGTGGGAGGATGGTTCAGAGCAGAAACTTGACTCTTTTGGGGTCATAAGATGAGTCAACAAATATCATGGCCAAATGGTCATATCATTGGAAAACTGATAGAAACCAACATGCCCGAGATAAAGGCAGACTGACAGATTGGCAGGGGCTGTTTCCAAGCCTGCCCACAAGTAAGGGGAATATTGCTCTTTATGGTTGAGCAAGTATTCCTGCCCATGGAGGAGGTTTGGCCAATGGATAATGCAGATACACAGTGCACAGTGTGGGGAGAGAGGAGGCCAAAGGGCAGAGAAGAATTTGTTTAAATTTTTCTTATCTTGCCACAAAACAGGAATTTTATTTCACACTCCTAATTAAAATCCTTCCCGAAATGAAAACTCTAGTTCAAACAGTGAATTCTTCCAACACTTCAGGAGAAAATAATGCCAATCCTACACAAACTTTCAGGAAAAAAAAGGAATAATCAATTTTCATCTCATTTGGAGGCCAGACATTACCTTGATGTCAAAAAAAAAAAAAAAACAGGAAAAGACAAAATTAAGCTGTAGACCAATATTCCTCATGAACATAAAAGTCAAAATTCTTAAAATATTAACAAATCCAATTCAACAATTTAAGAGGATAATACACTAAGTGGAACTTATCCCAGAAATGCAAGATTGGTTTAAAACTTACAAATCAAATATAATTAACCATGTTAGAATTAAAGAGAGAACTTACCTCAGTTGATGCAAAGAAAGCATTTGGCAAAATTCAACCCCTATCCATGGTTTAAAAATAAAACCAAAAAATTCAAACTAGGAACAGAAGGGAACTTCCTCAACCTGATAAAGAACATCTATGAAAAACCTACAGCTAACGTCATACTCGATGAAAGACTGAATGCTTTCAAATACGAGGAATAAGACAAAGCTGTTCATTCTTATCTCTTCTATGCAACATTGTACTGGAATGCCAAATCAGTGCAATGAAAGAAAAATAATTGAAGTATAGAGATTAGAGAGGAAGAAATAAATTACCTTTATTTACAAATGATATGTTCATGTACATGGAAAAGCCTAAGGAATCTACCCAAAAGCTTCCAGAATTGAGTTTAGCAATGTCACGGGATGTGAGAAACATTTGAAAATCAATTATATTTCTATAAATAGCAATGAACAACTGGAAATTGGATTTTTAAAATACCATTTACAATAATATCAAGAGTAAGATACCAATGGATAAATTTAGCAAAATTTACTTTGAAATTTGCTTGTACACTGAAAATTATAAAACATTGCTGGGAGAAATTAAAGATCTAAGTAAATTACCAGAAATGCCATGTCCATGAGTCAGAAGACTCAATATTGTTAAGATGCTAATATACATCTTCTCAAATTGATCTATAAATTCAACACAATCTAAATTTTTAAAGTAAGCTTTTGGGATAGAAATTGACAAGTTGATTCTAAAACTTATATAGAAATGCAAAGAGCCTGTAGGAGCCACGTAAGTTTTGAAAAAGAACAAAGTTGGAAGACATGCACTACCGAATTTCAAGACTCTCAGTGATCAAGATAATTTGTTATTGACATTATTCATGTAGAATGATAGAATATAAGAAGATCCAGAAATAGAATTTCAACCACTTTGGCAAGGTAATTCGATGGGGAAAGGATAGTCTTTTCAACAAATGGTGCTGGGACTAATTGATATGCATATGGAGAGGGGAATGAACCTTGATTCTTACATTACACCATACAAAAAAATTAACTTGAACTGGATCACAGGTCTAAATGTAAAAAAACCAACCAACCAAACTAACAAACAAAAACAATGAAATGTCTAAAGATAACCACAGGAGAAAAATCTTCTCAACCTTAGGGTAGGCATAGATTTCTTAGAACACAGAAAGCACTAATCAAAAAAAAATAATGAATTGGACTTGGTCAAATCTAATACTTCTGCTCCTCAAAAGACCCTGCTAAGAAAACAAAGATGAGGACTGTCTAGAGTGGGAAGTTTCCATAGGTCACGTTTATAAGGCCATAGACCCAGGAAGATCCAATGGAAGAAGACTTTTTCTTTTACCTTTTTTTTTTTTTTTTTTTTTT